ATAGGGATACAGGATGAGGAGGATTTACCAGACACAATTGCTCATCAACTGACAAGTGAAAGAGATTTAACATCTGTCAATAACCACATCTTTACAATATTATAACTTTACTATTTCATATCTGTTTTGTCTAGTCCATTCTGAGTTTGGCCAAGTTCAATCAGAGTTTGGACTAGAACACTTAGTGCAGTGTAACTTTGGACTGTAATTTGTTCTTTCGACCAAGATTGGTCTAGTCGAATCTCCGATCGTAGTTTGGACTACTGAAATTACAGGTCAAACTCCGATCGGAATTTGGCCAATCTGAGAGTGGCCTGGGGAGTTTGGACGCTGACATATATATGTTCGTGTTCGCTGAGAAAAAGAGAAAAAAAGAGATTTATTTTTCTTCTCTCTCTCCATATGACATTCCAAGTTGTTTCTTTTATCGTCTAGTGTCATCGATGTAAGAACATCTGGTCAGTTTTTATATTTCGGAATAGCCGGAAAATTACGATTATTGATACAGAAAATTCTTCTTGGTTTATTTAATTTTATATTACCTAAACTTTGTACAGACATTTTGAATTTAATGAATGATATTCATTCACCATATACAGATCAGCAAACAGTTATATCCGCTATATCCTATATCGATAACGCAATGAATATGAAGCAAGTCGAACATAATGAAAAATACCTTAATCTGTACCGACTTGTCAGTGATTTTACCGTAATATCTTTACGAGTACTTATCGAACAAGCTATTCACATAGCAGAAAAAAACTGTCAGGAAGAGTTAGAAAATTCACAAAAAGAATTATATGACTTGAAAATTCGTGTCGAAAAACAATTTGGATCAATGAAAGATTCATATGAACAAGAGAAAAATTTAGCTGAAGTAGTTGGTGAAGATATATTTAGTAAAGTAAAACGTTTGTTGTATAATACAATATCAGATGATATTAAAAAGGATATATTAAAATCAGAATATGTTATGCATCATTCAAAACAAGAACAAGCATATGTGCAAAGTTTCGAGCAAGCTAATGGTGAAAATATTCTAAAATATGTAACTGATATAAACCATTTCTTAGAAGTAAGTCTTAAACATACTAAACATAAATTTCAACTTGTTTTACGTGAACATACATTTAATTTAAACGACTTACTGTTCGAAATAATTAATACAGCAAATAAAACTGTTCAAGCACGTTCATGTGAAGAACTTTCTAGTGTTAACGATGTCATTTAATTGAATTAGAAAAATTAAAAAACTTGAGGGTTATAATCAAGTTGAAAAATTTAGTGTACACAATAGTATCAAATTACCAATCACAGATCCTGATAGATTTAAATCCGTTTTCAACCTTCATTTATGCATTGAAGAGTCCGAAATAGGCTCATTTATAAATCAATATAAATAAATCGATTTATAAATCATAAATTTTTCTCTCGCAAATTTAAGGCGGTTATAAACATTTTCTGTATTTATAAATTTTNCATAAGTGCATGGTCGATTGATGCATTTGATAAAGTAGTACCAGGCAGAAAACCTGGATCTCAGCATTTTTATTACTGAAACTCGAATCTATTTTTATCAATATCATACAAGTTTTCAGAAAGGTAATTGCCATTGATTGAAAGTAAAAAATGATTTTTAATTTCATTTCAAGTTGATTATTTCTTATTAAACATTGTTTTACTTCGTTTTCCATTGTGAATAGACTCTATTCACAATGGAAAATAATAGGTTTATAAACATCGACCGGGTTTATAAACGTCCTAAATTTTTTCGATTTTTGATAAATTTAAATTTCTGGAAACTCATTTCGGACTCTACAGTGGTAATAGAATAGATGACAGAGAGAATAGACGACGTATAGAAAGAGCGCATGATAGAACGCAAGAAGAAATAAATAAACGTGATTTGAGGACATTTCCATTTTCACAATGCATATGGCGTACACGCGACGAAAACGGTGTGACTAGATACAAATATCATTCTTATCGAGTACCCCTATATCAAATCTTGAATAATCAACCTTTTAAATGTAAAGAAAATCTTCAGATGATGCTTAATTTTGTTAAATATACCATGAATATATAAATTTCGACCTGATTTATTAATCTCGACCCGATTTATAAATCTCGACTCGGTTTATAAGTCTCGACCTGATTTATAAATCTCGACCCGGTTTATAAACGTCCTAAATTTTTTCGATTTTCGATAAATTTAAATTTTTTGAAAACTCATTTCGGACTCTACAGTGCATTTATGTCAAATGAACGAGTTCCAATCAAAAGTAAAGAAATGATAAAAGCATTAAGAAATGAAGCATTTGATGAATGTAAATTATCAATTAAACGCCGCCTTGGTTCTGTGTCCGTTTGTCCTAGTTGTGGTGCCAAATGTTCGGTGGCGGTGGAACATAAAATAGAGCTTGTTGAACAATTACCGAAAGATTCGGTCTAGGCACCACCGGAGGACCACAGATTTTTAAATTTCCACAGCCTATACGATATGCTCGATCAAGCTCTAGCTCACATGTCTAGACTCAGTTTGAGTCGAAGAATCTGAAAATCACATTGATGACTTCGGAAAGTAAAATTGAGAAGATAATAGCGATTTTCTCAAACAGTTTTGGGCGTTTTTGAGGAGTTCGCAGTATTTTACGTTTTTCTCCGAGAAAATGCGCTCAAATCGAAAGAATAAGGCCAGATTCCTGATCCCCAGATAAAACTGCATCTAATGATGTGCTTTAACAAGTTCGGATAACACAGAGGAAAAAATCGCGTTTTTCATGTTGCTCCCCCCTACTGTCCACGCCCGCCCAAGCAAAAAAATGCCTTTGAGATTATCTAGCTATAAAAATATGTTATCGGGCAATATCGGCTTGTGATAGCTAGCTATCCGTACCACTTTTATTGAGT